TTCAGATTATAGGTCAGTGTAAAAGATAAATGCAGGCACAGAGAAATAAAAAATCCATAAGTGTTCAAATAAGACAGAGGGTCTGCGGTGTACACTGAAGAAGAAAACAAATAGCAGATGACTGCACCTTGAATCCTTCCCCCTCATCTTTTCCCAGAAAATGGCCCCATAATACAATAACTAAAGCATATTAAAGAGTCTGGAATCCCTGCTTTGGCTAACTTGAGCCAGGCAATAAGCAGGAAATAGCTATTTTCTGCCATGGTCAAGTTCTAACACATTGGACTGACCCTTCTGATGTTGCTCAGCCACTTAGCATTGGCCCCAGAATCAAGAGGTCATAGGTTCATTCCCTGTCAGGACACATGCCTGGGTTGTGGGCTTCAATCATAGTGGGCAGTGTGTAAATGGCAGAAAACCAATGATTCCCTCTCATCATTGATGTTTCTATCTCCTTCTCCATTTATCTCTAAAATCAATAAAAATATATTTAAAAACATAATATCTACTGTTACCACATACTGTATTTTCAGCACTATGAGTGATTACTATTCCATGTGATTAGACAGATAAAAGAAGAAATCTTCTAAGAGAAAAGAGGAAAGAAAGCTATCATAATTAATAATATTAGCTCTACATGATTACATGATTAGAAATTTTCCTGAAATCTATAATTCATGAAGTGAGGAAATTAGATCAGTGAATTTCCTCTAAACAATAAAAAAAAAAGGAAAGGAAATAAGGAAATTTAAAGTCCATTTTATAGGATCAGAAACTGAAATTCATGAAAATAAATTTAATAAATGTCATGTAATTCTGGCATTTACACTATTAAACATTATTAAATGAAGCATAAAAAAGAACTATGAATCCTGCAAATGGGAATATCCCATATTCATCAATAGAAACACACAATATGGTAATTATGGCCAAACTCACCAAACAGACCAATACCATAAATAAGTTTCAATAACTTAAAAAATGTGTGTGCCTATACATGTGTATGTAATTTAGAAGTTTGATTTTAAATGTGTGTGTGTGACAAGGACTATTCTAAGATGTTTTAATCAATAAAGGAGAGATAGTCAACACTAAAAATGAATTACCCTTATAGGCATTATCAACTCAATTACTTTCATATCTACATAGCACACATATAACGGCTTCCATGTTATAGAAGAGAATATTTGTGTAAAGGAAGACATAAACTGTTGTAGGGACAGGGTATAAAGATCTATTGATAAAAGGCATACCTGAGCATTTCTTTCCTTCAAGCATTGACCTTGAGTTTATATTTTAAAAATTGTATTATTTTTAAATAAAATACAGGCAGCTCCAGGGGATTTAGAATCTCAGTAAAACACAATTTCATTCTTTACTCATCACCTACTAGCTAAAAACTATTGATAGACTTAAAAGGCCGTTTGATGGTGATTAGCTTAGAAGGCTGGAGCCCTCAGTAATAGGATTAGTGCCCTTATGAAGGAGATTCCAGAAAGCTTCCTTCCCTCTCCTAATTGGTAAAGACTGAAGGAGATGACAATGGTGTATAAAACAGGAAATAGGACATTTATTCAGACATTATACTGTCTATATGTTAAGTACCTAATGCTATATTATCATCTTCATATCTCAATATCATTCCCTGGCTTTCCCTCTATTAATGTAGCTGTGAATCCCTGTGCCATTTCCCCATACCTATCATCCAATTCCCCCCTTCACAGCTATGATTAACCTGTTGATTAAACACTTCAACAAATATTTAGTCTTAATTATTGCATTTAAAAATTATATAAATTCTATTTTTATCTTCAATATAATGGGAACTATCTGCTGAATTTGTTAGTTCTATGAAGACTCAAACTCAGAATAAGATTATATTTATATAATTTGAACATCATAACCTGTCATATTATAACATAAGTTAAAGCCCACTTTAACTTAATTAATGTATGTAATGTAATTTTTAATTATATGCTAATGTAACTAAGATTTTTTACATTCTTAACTAAACATCATTATTAATTACCAATTTCATTGAATATATGCTGTGGCTCTTTATTTAACTTTAAAATACTAGCTGGTCAAATAATACATAGGTGTTTATAAATAAAAAAGTTTTTACCATATATTAATTTTAATAGCTAATGGTGGTTTTTATATTAATTTTAATAGCTAATGGTGGTTTTTATATTAATTTTAATAGCTAATGGTGGATTTATACTAGGGAAGCTGAGAAGAGTACTGATCTGATCATCCTGTGAATTTCCATCTAGCAGAGAATACAAATAACACTGAAGTGTGTATCACTGTGGTGAGAACTACAAAGGAATGCACAGCTTGGGTTATTAAGTAACCTTACTTCAAACTATGGATTATTAAACTGAGACAAGAACATGTAGACTATAATTAGCTAAAGAAAAATGAGAAAATTATTTCTAAATTGCCATTGGTGCTTCTGTGCTTGTGCATTTTACATTTTTTGTATTCTTTTTTTAAAATAAATCATTATTGTTCATATTATTACAAATGTTCCTCATTTACCCCCCCCCCCCATTTCTCTCCTCCACCAGGTTCCCACCCCACCCTCTGCCCTTTCCACACTCCCCATTGTCCTCATCCATAGGTGCACAGTTTATGTTCAGGCTCTTTCCATACCCCCCACTTTCCTTTTCCCTGAGAATCGTCAGTTCACTACCCTTCGATACCTTCGATTCTATTATATTCAACAGTTAATATTGTTCATCAGAGTTTTTTTTTAAATTCCCTTGGTTTTTAGATTCACTTATTGATAGTTACATATTTGTTGTTCATAATTTTTATCTTTATTTTCTTTCTCTTCTGAAAGAACCCCCTTCTGCAATTCATAGAATTCTGGTTTGGTGGTGATGAACTCCTTTAGCTTTTTTTTATTTGTGAAGTTCTTTATCTGGCCTTCGATTCTGAGTGATAGCTTTTCTGGGTAGATTATTTTTGGCTGTAGGTTCTTGCTATTCATCACCTTGAATATTTCTTGCCATTCCCATCTGGCCTGTATAGTTTCTGTTGAAAAATCAGCTGACAATCGTATGGGTGCTCCTTTATAGGTAAATACCTGCTTGGCTCTTGCTGCTTTTAATATTCTTTGTCTTTTGCTCTTGGAATTTTAATTATGATGTGTCCTGGTGAGGTCCTCTTTGGATTCCTTTTGTTTGGGGTTCTGTGCGCTTCCTGGACTTGTGAATCTATTTCTTTCCCCAGGTGGGGGAAGTTTTCTGTCACTATTTCTTTCAGTATGTTTTTGGTATCTTGCTCTCTTTCATCTTCTAGGACCTCCATAATTCTGAAGTTGGTTCGCTTGAAGTTGTCCCAGAGGTTTCTTACACTATCTTCAACTTTCTGGATTCTCTTGTCTTCTTGCTTCTGCGGAGGAGTGTCTTCTGGCTCTTTATGTTCCAAATCTTTGACTTGATTCTTGTGATCTTCCATTCTGTTTTTAGGACTCTGTATAATATTTTTTATTTCAGACGATGTATTCTTTATTTCTTGTTGATCCTTTATTATTTCTTGTTGATCCCTTATTATTTCTAGTTGATCCCTTTTCATATCCTCATAGGTCTCATTTATTTTATCGGCATTTTTTAGGAAATTCTTGAAAAACCTTATAAGTGTGGTTTTGAACTCTATCCAGTCGCTTTATGTCCTCCATTTCTTTTGTTTGTAATGTTTCCTTGTCTCGGCATTTTCGAAGCTTCCTGAGTTGGTAGCCTTAAAAGTCTCTCTGTGTTCAGCTTATATGGGGTGGAGTTTCAGGGTGGAGCCTACAGCCTTGGCTTCCCTCAGCCACGCCCTAAGAGACTCCTGAGTCTCAGTGTTCCTCAGTGTCCTTTGGTACTCGCTGCAAGCACCTCTGAGAGAAAGGTGCCCTTGAGTTTCGCCCACCACCAAACAGTCTAGGCTCTCCCCTAATGAGCCCGGAACTGGGGTTCAGTGCAGTTGGACGTCGGGTTCAGTGCAGTCCGGAGCCCCTGTCACCTTCCTGCTAGGGCAATCAGCGGCACAGCCAACCGTCCACTCTCTGCGCACTTCCTTTCACCACTCCCCTGGGTTTCAGACTTACAGCCCAGGCTCCCCCTGCATGAGCCTGGGTCCCCAGGATTTGGCCCAGAACTGGGGTTCAGTGCAGTCGGAACTGGGGCTCAGCACAGTTCAGAGCCTTCATCTCTTTCCCACCAGGGAACGCCAGCCAGGCACTCAGCTGCCTCTCCTCTCTGGCTCCGTCCTCTCCACGCATGCAGCATGTCTCCATACCTTAGGCTTTTACAGCTCCTCTGCTTTTCCTTCTGGTTTTCTCTTTCCTTCTCGTTATAGAATTTCCAGTCAGTCGACTTTCCTGTAGTTCTGGGTAATGTCCATTTTGTATTTTAGTTGTATTTTATTGAAATTGTTGTGTGAGGCTGTGGTTAGGTGTTTACCTGTGCAGCCATCTTGGATCCTCCCCACAAAATCCGCATTTTACATTTAAGCCATTGTGTCTCTACAACCATGTCTGTTTGGGAAAAGAATGAATGATGGCAGCTCTCTTGCATTGAATTTTACATTTCCAGACACCCCTATCATCTCTAATTATACTTCCTCATGACAGTTCACAAATAAAGCAAAAAAAAGTAAACCTATTCTACACCATGCATCATGGGTGATGCTTTTCCTAAACTGAGTAAAGCACAAGCCAATTCATATGTTTTGAAGGTTATCATATTTAATAATACAGTAAATAGATATTCAGGATAAAAGGAAATTAAAAACAAAAACTTATAACATATTTATTTTATTTGATAGGGCACCAGGAAAAGGGCTTCTTTAGATATTGGTGTTCCCCAGCAGATAGAGAGATGCCTAATGTATTTCTAGTCAGAAGTGACTACAGCAAAGGATAGGCCTGAGATGGGAAGAGAAAGAGCAAAAGTCAATTCTACATATGAGGGTTCTTTTTGCTACATTTACAAAGGTCACACTTCTACCTTCATAATCCAGGAATATCCCTACTCGGCCAGTAGGTCTGGGCACATATTGCAGTAAATGTGGGGAGGTGGTGAAGACCTTGTGGTGCATGTCCGTTTCAGCACAGCCAAGAAGATAGAATGCCTTATGGAGATGTACATTCTCCTGTACCCAATCATTACAAGAGACTCCTAAAGCCCAATCACAAGTGTCTCCCACTGCTATCTCCCAGTAATGTCTCCCAGTGGTAAAAGTCTGAGCATCCCAGTGATAAAAACACTCAGCTAGTGGAGAGGTATATGGTGCACCTTGAGAACCACATCCAACTCTCAGGTTTATCAAATCTCCTTGTAGGAAGACATGATCAGGAGTACTTCTATGCTGCAGAGTGATATTCACTGCAAAAAGAAAGAAGAAAAAAAAAAAAAAAGAAGAAGAAGAGATCAAGTGGACACATTGCAAATAAAATTCCTGATGCGAAAGTTGCTCTTTCAAGATGTTACTTTATTATGAGGTCACAACAGCAAGAGCAATGTTGGTTGTCACATCTAATGAAGCACAGAGATGACCAATACAAGTGCAGAACAAACATCCCTAACGACAGACATTTGGATATTTTTTTGAAATTCAAATATTTAGGGTCAAATATAAGACTTGTCTCACCTTGGCTACTGTGACTCAGTGGTCAGAATATTGGCTCAGGATAATGGGTTTGATTCCAGTCAGGGGGCATCCTGGGTTGCAGGTTCCATTCCCTACACCTGCATCTGTCTGCGTTCTTGGAATCCCTCTCATATTCTCTCTCTCTCTCGCCTTTCTCTCTCTCGCCTTTCTCTCTCTCGCCTTTCTCTCACCCGCCTTTCTCTCACCCGCCTTTCTCTCACCCGCCTTTCTCTCACCCGCCTTTCTCTCACCCGCCTTTCTCTCACCCGCCTTTCTCTCACCCGCCTTTCTCTCACCCGCCTTTCTCTCACCCGCCCGTGTCTCTCCCCCCCCCCTCTCTCTCTCTCTCTCTCTCTCTCTCTCTCTCTCTCTCTCCCCCCTTGTGTCTCACAGTTTGAGTGTCGACATATGAAACAGGAGGTCAAGGTTCCATTGCTGGTCAGGGCACATGCCTTGGTTGTGGGCTTGATCCCCAGGAAGGGCATGCAGGAGGCAGCTGATCAATGATACTCTCTCATCATTGATGTTTCTATTTCACTCTTCATCTCCCTGCCTCTCTTCAATCAATAATAATTTTTAAATAATTGTATATGTCTCCTTGGATGAGGATTAAGAACAAAAAGACTCATGTCTCCAAGTTCACTTTTCATAGCAAAATGGCCAATGCTAATATTCTCTGATTTGTCTTCATTGTAAAAAATTAGAATCAGGAGAACATTTCTTCTAAATAATCACATCATCATTTTGGAAGGGAGGTACAGATTTTCCATGACTCAAGCATTTCTCTGGATAAATTAATGAAAACTCAATTTATATCCTTTGTAGTAATTTGTTAAAATGGTGTTTGCAAAACTCTTCACCAGTCTCTCTGTCCTCTATCCTGGCTCTGAGCTATCAGCATTTTGACATTTAACATGTACATCTTCAGATTATGAGTAAACTGAATGTTGCTGTGTTTTTACTTTATTGTTTATAAAAATATGTCTTCTATTAACTCTTCCATATTAATTAAATTTTTACATTAAATGACCATTGTAAATAAAAATACAAGGAAATAAAATAAGATTAAGTATATTATATATTACATTTGAAAATTATATATAGTTTTATACATAAAATTGGATAATTAATATTAAATCTGAACATTGTTTCATTTGCTAAACTGCTCATTTCTAACATCATTTCTTTACCTATAGAAAACTCACTATTTATGAGTCTGAATTATATTTCTGTTTTCACTACCTTTCATTCTTGGTCCTGTAAAGACATTATCACTTACAAAAGGATTATAAAGTCAAATGATCCACTTAGGGCTGAAAATTGTGACACACTTAATAAAAGAGGGTAGATTACCTGCATGGTCCTAACAACACACAATAGATTATGGAAATATGGCCTATGGGCTTGTGCTTGCACTTACCTTTGAAGAAGTTGAAAGTTTCAATCAGCCACGTGATGCTCTCTACAGTGAGCTCTGGTTTCAGGGGCTGGGGTGTGTATATACATAACAACTCACCCCTACAAGAAGAAAGAGATAGTTACCATGTTTACAATCAACAAACAAAACCACTATATTTTATGTATAAGATACTTCAATAGAATTATTTAAATCCATTAACTTGAAAACCCAGAAGTATCACTTTGTCAAATATTATAATTCTTCTTCATAGTCCCTTGATTTTCAAATCAAATAGAAAGTCCATTTGAAACAGAATTCAGGAGAAACCAAGATGATGGCATAGGTAAACACCTGAAATTGCTGCTTCGCACAACCACTTCAAAACTACAACTAAAAGACAAAATAGACATCATTCAGAGTCACAGGAAGGCTGGCTGAGTGGAAATTCTATAAATAGAAGGAAACAGAAAAGCACACTGGGACTCAGAGGAGGTGTGGAAGTAAAGTGCAGAGGTACAGAGGCATGCACACAGAAAGGGCTGGCAACTGAGGACAAGCTGTCTTTTTTGATCAATTTGGAGGGAGACACAAGTTTCCCATTGCTCTGAACTCCAGTTCTGGGCAAGACTCTGGGGAGAAACTGGACTGTCTGGCTTCAGGCAGAACTCGAGGGCAGCTTTCTCTCAGAGGTGTTTGTAGCAATTACTGAGGGACACTAAGACACAGGGGCCTCTTAGGGCAGGGCTAAAGACTAGCCATTGCTGTTTGCTCTGCCCTGAGACCCTGCCCCACCCAAGTTGTGCACAGAGGCTTTTGCATATGAATGCACTTGTGCTTTGAAATCTAAAATTACCTAACAAACTAAAGCTGAGTCAGAGAGACCTAGAACATCCAAAAGAAGGCCCAAGCCAAACAGCAGCTTGCATTATTTCACATCTGGGCCTCATCTGGGCACCTCCAAACCCCAAACAAAGAAGAATATGCATATCTTTCCATAGCTCCTGCTGAGTGGCCTCAGAAGCTAAATTTAAATTTTCAGCTGCACTGAAGCAAGTCTAACCTCATAAGGGTGTCTCCAGCACAGAAGTTCTCCCATCACAGACACAAGTGATCCTCACAGCCACTTTGGCCTGGAGGTCACTTTGTCCTAGTGATACCAACAACAATCAAGGCTTAACTATAACAATACTGTGCACACAGCACACAAAGTGGTACACCAAGAGTGTCCACCTCAGGTAGCTGGTAGGCTGATCTATCGGGCCCTATAGAACACCTAGAACACAAAGCCACTCTATCAACACAAGGAAGCAGCTAAAATGCAAAGCCAAAGAAACAGGTCAAAAATAAAATAAATGGAGAAAAGCAAACTACTGGATATAGAGTTCAAAACCACGGTTATAAGGTTTTTCAGGAATCTTCTAAAAACTGCCGATAAATTTAGTGAGACTCTTGAGGATATGAAATTTCTAGGACCAACTAGAAATTAAGCATACAATGACTTAAATAAAGAATAATGTACAGAGATCCAAAAGCAGATTAGATGATTGCCAAGATTTGAAGTTCAAAGAAGCAAAAATAACCAGAAAAGAAAAAAAAGGAAAAAAAAAGATTCCAAAAATATGAAGACAGTGTAAGAAGCCTCTGGGACAATTTCAAGTGTACCAACATCAGAATTATTGGGATGCAAGAAGTAGAGAGAGAGCAAAATATTGAAAAGCTATTTGAAGAAATAATGACAGAAAACTTCCCCCACCTGGTGAAAGACTTACAAGTCCAAGAAGCACAGAGAACCTCAAACAAAAGGAATCCAAAGAGGACCACACCAAGACACATCATAATTAAAATGCCAAGAGCAAAAGACAAAGCAAGAATATTAAAAGCAGCAAGAGAAAAACAATTAGTTACCTACATGGAAGCACCCATATGATTTCCAGCTGATTTTTCAACAGAAACTATGCAGGCCAAATGGGAGTGGCAAGAAATATTCAAAGTGATGTATAGCAAGAACCTACAATCAAGATGACTCTACTCAGCAAAGCTATCATTCAGAATTGAAGGTCAGATAAAGAGTTTCACAGATAAGAAAAAGCTAAAGGAGTTCATCACTGCCAAACCACTATTATATAAAATGCTGAAAGGTATTCTTTAAGAAGAGGAAGAAGGAAAAAAAGATAAAGATAAAAATTATGAATAATAAATACATACCTATCAATAAGTGAATCTAAAAATCAAGTTAATAAAAAAAAACCCTGATAAACAGAATAAACTGGTGAATATAATAGAATCAGGGTCATAGAAAGGGAGTAGACTGATAAAAACCTCAGGGAGAAAGGGGTCTGGGGCGTGTGGGAAGAAACTGGATAAAAATCATACATCTATGGATGAGGACAGTGGGAGTAAGATAGTAAGGGCAGAGGGTAGGGTGGGAACCTGGTGGAGGGTAGCTATGGGGGGGAAATAGGAACAACTATAATAATCTGAACAATAAAGATTTCATTAAAAAAAAAAAAGAAACAAAATTCAGTCTAACCCTTTCTCATCTTGTCCAGGAATTTGTAAAGACCCTCAGTCTTTTATGTCCTTGAGGATATTCAAGAGGGAAATTCTGAATACTACTGACATGCTCCCCATCTGGAAATCATGAGGTTCTCTGAAGACTAGTTGGCCTATTGCACACTCTCAATGTAGAGGCTGTGAAACTTTTTCCAGGCAGGGGGGATCTGCTTCCTTAGGCAAGTGGTTCTAGGGGCCTCACATCATTCTCATACTTAGCACGTTTTCCATCATATAGGTGGGATTTTTTAGAACAAAAAAGGAAATTGAGAATTAAGGGATTTTCCTTATTCAGTTTTTTTTTTCTTCAATATATCCATTGAAACTGCAGAAAGAAATAACTTAGTATTGCAATGAAAAGAGACATCTACATGGAGTTAAAGAGGGGAAAATAGACACAGAAAAAAAAATCAGTCAAGATCACAGTAAGTTCTGCCTTCACTGTAGCATATCTTGCCTGATGTCTATGAAAATTCTGAAAGAGCATCAGCTAGTATCAAGGTATAAACTCACCTGAACAATATATTTCCAAAATCCTGTGGAGATAAATAGAAAGGTTTAGTGATTTTTGCCAATGACTCTTCTGCTAGGTCCATGGGAGATTTTTTTTTTTTTCATTTAGTTTTTTTTTCTTATTTTACTTTTTGCTCTCAATCCCTCCAGCATTCTGATGGGCAATCTTGAGATAGATCCAGAAGTCATTATTTCAATATTGTATTTCCTCCTGGGAAATATATCTACTGCCTCTCCCCAATTTACCATATTGTCATAAACTCATGTTCTGCTAGAGACTGATTCCTGGAGACTTTCCATGGGCCAGTGAATGGGGAAGAGAGCTGAGGAGTCCCTGTGCATTCCTGTAAGCATGATTAAGTATCCAGCATCTTTTCTATTTCTAATTTGGGGGCACCCAAAAATGACAGCAATGCAAGTGTAGATCCCCAAATCTCTGCATATTGCCATGTCTGTAATTAGCCTCAATATCCATAACCCCCCTACCATTTTGTGCATTTTCACAAAGCCAAAATATATCATGGACTTTTAGAAGGGGAATCAAATTCAGGATTCTTTTACCATCTCACAGAGTTTTGTTTCTTATGGATAATGTGGGAGGGATCTTTGGTTTGTAGGGTTCCTTGGAGGAGTAATACACTCCCAACAAAGTAATTGAGTTTATGGTAATAGGTTGTTGGAAAGAAATGACATAAAAGAAGAGATGGATTTCCACTGAAGGAATGCCAGTGCATGTGAATGTTCAACACCCAACTTCTGAATTCTTACCAGGAGCATCTCTACATCTGGTTTATGGCACATTTCCTTCATCTCTGTATACATTTCTATTAAAAGCTCCCTCTTCTCTATCATCCTGGCTCCATTGTCTCTGAGTTGGCCAGAAATCATATTGGCTTCCTTTGTCAGTTTTTCTAAATAATAATCCTTTTCCAGATAGAAATATGAAGGCAGATTCTTATAAACACCTCTGACCGCACTCCCCTTTGAGATCACATAAGTCTGCAATGACATGAAGTTAGTCAAAACATGAACTCTTTCACTCATCTCCCACTGAATCTCACTGGTTCATCTTTGAGTTGCAAAAATCAATTATATTTAAGCTTTAACCCTCAGTCTTGCATAGTCTCAAAGTCCACATTTTCTCCATCCTCTTTTCCAAATATTTTTAAACAATCAATTATAACCACTTCATTCATACTTATGCCATTGATAAGATAACCACAAAAAAATGTGTGATTTCTATTTTCCCGACAATATTTGTGAGAAGGCAACACAGTTTATCCATAAAACATGCTGTTTAAATTCGTGTTAATTGGATTAGAATCCTCTATTTAGCCCAATTTCTGAAATTTGGTGCAAATTACTTCCAGCCATTTTACATGCTGTGACCTCAGACTGATGTGCTCATCCCCTTGCATTTCATCCAGCTAAATTCTATCCTGAGGAGGTTTCATTGACAATCTGACCCCCAATATCTCTTTGATTTTATTTCCTTTTATTCTCTTCCTAATTCACTCTGATGCCCCCTCAGATCTTTGTGGTTTTTAACTGCTCCCAATATACTCATCTGTGCTATTTTCTCCATCTAGAATGCTCTCCCTACCCTTGAGGTTGCCTTCCTCTTCAGATATCTTTTTTAATAAAGTAAAATTTTCAGTGAGGTCTTTCTGATGATCAATTCTATCTAGAACTCAAACCTTCATCAGTAGTCCCTACTCTCCTATACTCCTCTTTCTCCTTACTGCTTTATTATTCTACAAAAAACTTATCAGGCATCATATATTATACCTTTATACATGTTGGCCATTTGCCCTTTGATTTAGAGTGTAAGCTTTATCAGTGCAAGGATAGTGTCTACTTTGCTTACTGCTCCATTTTTTGGATCAATATTTGGTACAGACAAGGTGCTCATGAAATATGTGTTGAGTAAATTCATATGAGATATCACATCTTCAAGATAACCATCCAGATTGAGGAAATCAGCTAATGTGTTTAAGCCTCGCCTTCTATTTAGATACCAGGGTCGATAGTGGCATATTTATATGTATCCCTCATCTCTTGTCACTTTTCTCCTCAGACATTATATATTACTAGAGGCTAGTGATCAGGGCCAATCGGTGGATCTTGCCCGCAGGTGGGATGAACACCTGTAGGTTGGCAGGCTGGCCCCCCATACCGCCACCATTGGTGCCAATTGTGGGGGCTGCCTTGTTGGAGGGAGGAACCACAGGTTGTAGGCCAGCTAGGGGAAGGGACTCTGGAAGGTTGAATGGTCAGGACAGGTTGACTGTGGGAGCACACTGACCACTAGGGGGCACCACCTGTGTTGATCATCTTTCCTCTGTGGTCAGAGGGCCTGATAGCAACTGGTTGATTATTCAGTCCTTCAGTTACATACTTTATATCTACAGATTCTAAATTAATTACTTGGTATAAGTTCAGAGTTTCCCTGTTTTGGGGACACTGTTCTTTATACCTAAAATTTTTCATCTGTTTTCAAATACTACTTTTCAAACAACATTCACATTCAGATGCTTCACCTGAATTTTCAATGGCTACCAAATGTCTTTTATGCCCAGTATTTACTCTCCCCCATCACATATGGCACTCTGTGAAATAGCCCAGTCTGTTGTGGATATTGGTGTAGAAGTGGTAAATATTGTTAAACCTGGGAACAAACCAGCATGCTTTGTGTGACAGCTGTTATTTTGTTAGAAGCCCTGACTAAGAGCCCAACTACCGTATTTTTCAGACCATAAGACGCACAGGACCATAAGACGCACCAGTTTTTAGAGAAGGGAAATGAAGAAAAAAAGATTCTGAAACAAATAGTGTCCTAAAATATTTTATGTGCATTAAAACCCAACATCACAGTCATAAACACATGTAATCAACCCTGTAAAGTAAACAGCAGCATTTAGAACCATTTTAGAGCCGGGCAAGCACACACAGACCACACAGAGCCGGGCAAGTAAAAAAACTTTTTTTTTAAAGTATATGTGTAGGCTATATTTGGACCATAAGACGCAGGGACCTTTTCCCGGGGAAAAAAGTGTGTCTTATGGTCCGAAAAATACGGTATCTATCCTATGCAGGGAAAATACCCTTTTCCTGTTGATCACACTTTCTATATTGAATACCAAAGAACACTATAGTGTCAGAGGAAGTTTCTATTTTAAAGTTATTCATCCAGCCAAAACTGGTTTGGCTCAATGGATAGAGCGTTGGCTTGGGGACTGAAAGGTCCTGGGTTCGATTCCAGGTCAAGGGCATGTACCTTGGTTGCAGGCATATCCCCAGTAGGGGGTGTGCAAGAGGCAGCTGATCGATGACTCTCTCTCATCAATGTTTCTAACTCTCTATCTCTCTCCCTTCTTCTCTGTACAAAATCAATAAAATATATTTTAAAAAATAAATAAAAAATAAAGTTATTCATCCAACGACACCATGTGCATGATGCAGGTTGGAGAAATGCAAATACCAACCTCCCAAGATCTGATTGTGGCAGTTTCTACCTTCAGGTTTCTGTCATTTAGACAATATTTCTCCCATAAAAATCCCATTATCTCGAGTAGTTTCTCCTGCAAAAGAACCACAAGAGTCAAATAGAGCCAATGAAGAGGACAATGTAACATTTAGCCCCCAAAGAGGGAGGGTCCCCAGAATGATAAATCAGAGCCATTGAAAACAGGGAATCATTATAGAATTGCCTTGTTTACATCACATATTTGTGAAATCTGAGAGACTTCACACTAAGGAATTCCAGGGCAGAGATTCTGAAAGAAACACCTGGATGGAGTAATCCCATCCCCAAGGAAACAGACTCACAGGAATTTCATACTCACTTTAGAGAAGTGGGTCCAAAAGGGCATCACTTACCCTGAGTTGCTCAGCCGCCTCTTCTGCTGAACCATGTCTGTGAGCCCCATGCTCCTGGGAGGTAGAGCACTGCGTACAGAGCAGGCTCCTCTGCTCCTCACAGAAGATCTGCTTTGCCTCCATGTGTATCATACACTCATTTCCCACAGAGTGCAGGAATTGCCACAGACTGGCTTTTCTGACAATGAGAACAATTTGCTTGAGAGTGACATTTGTTTTAAAGTCTTCCTCCTGGATTGCTTCCTGGCATTCAGAGCAGTGAGCAAGAACTGACCTGTTCAGCCAGTTGAGGTTGAAACAGGGCCTACAAAAGCTGTGCCCACAGTTAATGGTGATGGGGTCTACAAAGCAGTTTCTACAGATGGAGCAGATGAGTTTATTCTGGATGACTTGCAAGATGTGATCCATGTTTCTGAGAAGAATTAGCAACAGGTCATTTCTGGGCATGAGTTAGTGAGAGGCTTCTGAACAGTTATATGAGGGTAGTGATGTCTATATTTTTTTTTCTCTTTGCAATACTCACTAAAGCAAGATAATCTATTTATGCCATGATACAGATGGAAATCTGGAGCACAGAAAGAGTCCTTGGGCTTTAACAGCAGACAAGGTTCTCTCTAGATGACTCACATAACCTTACACATTCAGTTCCTAGTCATTATCCAAATACAAATGTGTGCAAGTATCCATTTCCAGGAAGTGGGATATATAATTATATTACTGTTCTTAATGGCTCAAAATCAATCAGAATTATCCACATTCTTTTTTCAATAACTTGTTAGTGAGTACAGAAGTATGAAATATACCCCATAAATCTATTTAGCCAATAAATATTTAGCCAATAAATATTTAGCCAATAAATCTGAGAGGAAGATGACCAGAATGGTTCTATGAAATGACTTTAGGGAGAGGGTCAAGAAAACCTAGCTCTCTCTTTTAAAACAGACAAATAAGGAAAAAAACAAATACAAATTGAACCAATGAAGATTCATTTGAAAAGAAATTATGAAAAAAATTGGCCTTTTTTTGAATCCTTGAGGATTAAATTAACTTCTGATTATACAAACTCTGAACTGACATATTTTAAAAATATACATATATTATCACTATAACAGTAAAGTGAATGTTCTATAAGTATTATTCTCTATAATGTTCTATAATTCATATTTCTGGAATAAAAATATAGGCTAAAAGTTTAATACAAAATAGTAGATTATTTTTAAACTAAAATACATTTAACCATTTGCAGCTACAAACTTTGCTTTCACAGTACTAGGAGTTGACTTTTCATTTCTTTTTTTTTTTCTTTTTTTCTTGGCAGCATCTTTTATTTTGTTTTGTTTTCTTAATCCTCACCCCAGGATATTTTTCCATTGATTTTCAGAGAGAGGAATGGAAGAAATGAGACAGAAAGAGAGAATCATGGATGTGAGAGAGACCCATTGATTGGTTGCCTCATGCACATGCCCAGAACAGGACCATGGATGGAGCCAGTAACTGAGGTACATGCCCTTGACCAGAATCAAACCCAAGACCTTCAGTCCATGGGCCAACACTCTATCCACAAAACCAAACCAGCTATGGTGCTTTTCATTTCTGAATAAGGTAAAAAGTAAAAAGAACAGAATTGTCAATTAAGTTCAGTCAAGTCAGAATTTACAGGAACTTTTTCATGCTTTAAGGAGATGTACTGTAAGCCTAAAGTGAAATGCCAACCAAATCATATGTAAAATTATGCATTCAAATATGTTTAATTGGTCAAACAATTGGGGTCTAATGTCTAACATAAGTATCTCAGTGAGCCTTCTCATTTCCCTTAGATTTGTATTCCTAGTCATTTTCTTTTTTTTTTTTTAAATATATATATATATATTTTATTGATTTTGTACAGAGAGGAAGGGAGAGAGATAGAGAGTTAGAAACATCGATGAGAGAGAGTCATCGATCAGCTGCCTCCTGCACACCCCCTACCGGGGATGTGCCCGCAACCAAGGTACATGCCCTTGACCGGAATCGAACCCGGGACCCTTCAGTCCCCAAGCCGACGCTCTATCCATTGAGCCAAACCGGTCCCGGCCCTAGTCATTTTCTTAATAACTTAAAAGAAAGTATAAAAGTTAAAAGTTTAAAGGGTATAGCACTTACAGTATTCAATTATAAGATATTTCTAATGCTCTCATGATATATATGTAAATGGATATTCATGTGAATTCCATAAGTTCACTACTCAGCCATACCTATAGCAGCAAACTGGATCTTTTAGATGCTTTGCTATAAAATTACATGATATTTGATAACTACCTTCTAAGGCATAGCAATACATCAAATAACACAAATATACAAAATAGTAGCAGATTAAACCTTGAGGATTCATAAAAGTACTTAGTAAGAATATGAATTACAGGAAAAACCAAGATGGCGGCATAGGGTAGACACCTGAATGCAGCCTACCACAACAAATTTGAATTTAGAACTGGAAAACAAGGGAAACCTTGCCCTAGAGCACCAGATGGCTGGCTGAGAGGAGGCTCTACCATCTGGGAAGGAGAGAGAGGGCACACTGAACCTCAGAAGCTGTGAAGGTGCGGAGAACTGTGTGCGTGAAAAGGAGGCCGCCAGACTTCGCTGCTGGCTTGCTTGCGGAGCTTGGAGAGGGCGGGCCGAGTTCGCTGCTGGCTTACTCCCTGCTCACGGAGAGGGTGGACAGCTAATGCATGGCTAGCTTTCTTGTTCGAGAGAAAAACAGAACCACCCTATTGCTCTGATAGACAGCCTCAGACAGGGAGAGGCCAGACTGTCAGGCAGTGGGCAGAGATTTCTCAAAGGTGTGTGAAGCCAGTGGCCATTACTGCGGGACTCAGAAACCAGACCCTCATAGGGAGGGGCTGACCAAAGCTTGTCTGCACCACCCCGAGACTCCGCCCCATCTAAGTGGAGCACAGAAGCCCTTCCAGTCGCTAGCTTTCTCATTCACCACAAATAGGACTTTCCTAGGGAGGGACAGACAGCAATCCAAAGCTTGTCTGCACCTATACCAAAAAGGTGCGCATGCCTGCAACCAATCTTCGGGATTCACCAAACCTAGGTTGTGCCACCCCGAGACTCCACCCCTTCCAAGGGGAATACAGAAACCCTCCTAGCTGAGACACTTCTGATCCTCATAGCCAATTGGCTTGGAGATCAACGCTTCCCAGTGATACCAACAACAAGCAAGGCTTAACAACAAGACTGCGCACACAGCCCACAAAGGGCTACACCAACACTGTCCACCTCAGGTAACTGTCCTATATGACCCACTGAACCATATAGAACACCTTAGCACACAGAGCCACCCTACCAACTCAGGGAAGCTGTGAAAATGCTGAGACAAGGAAACAGATCACGAACAAAAGAATTGGAGGACAAGAAGCAACTGGATATAGAGTTCAAAACCACACTTATAAGGTTTTTCAAGAGTTTCCTAGAAAAGGCCAATAAAATAAATGAGACCTATGAGGATATGAAAAGGGATCAACTAGAAATAATAAAAAAAAAAGAATACATTATCTGAAATAAAAAATATTATACAGAGTCCTAAAAACAAAATGGAAGATCGCAAGAATCAAGTCAAAGATTTGGAACATAAAGAGCCAGAAGACAAGAGAATACAGAAAGTTGAAGATAGTGTAAGAAACCTCTGGGACAACTTCAAGCAAACCAACTTCAGAATTATGGGGGTCCCAGAAGATGAAAGAGAGCAAGATACCAAAAACATACTGAAAGAAATAGTGACAGAAAACTTCCCCCACCTGGGGAAAGAAATAGATTCACAAGTCCAGGAAGCGCACAGAACCCCAAACAAAAGGAATCCAAAGAGGACCTCACCAGGACACATCATAATTAAAATTCCAAGAGCAAAAGACAAAGAATATTAAAAGCAGCAAGAGCAAAGCAGGTAGTTACCTATAAAGGAGCACCCATACGATTGTCAGCTGATTTCTCAACAGAAACCATGCAGGCCAGACGGCAATAGCAAGAAATATTCAAGGTGATGAATAGCAAGAACCTACAGCCAAAAATAATCTACCCAGAAAAGCTATCACTCAGAATCGAAGGCCAGATAAAGAACTTCACAAATAAAAAAAAGCTAAAGGAGTTCATCACCACCAAACCAGAATTATATGAATTGCAGAAGAGGGTTCTTTCAGAAGAGAAAGAAAATAAAGATAAAAATTATGAACAACAAATATGTAACTATCAATAAGTGAATCTAAAAACCAAGGGAATTTAAAAAAAACTCTGATGAACAATATTAACTGGTGAATATAATAGAATCGAAGGTATCAAAGGGGAGTGAACTGACGATTCTCAGGGAAAAGGAAAGTGGGGGGTGTGGAAAGAGACTGAACATAAACTGTGCACCTATGGATGAGGACAATGGGGGGTGTGGAAAGGGCAGAGGGTGGGGTGGGAACCTGGTGGAGGGGAGCAATGGAGGGGGAAAAATAGGAACATTTGTAAGAATATGAACAATAAAGATTAAAAAAAAAAAAAGAAGAATAGGAGTTACAAATAATATAACTGAGTAGGTCAAAGATAAAATATGTTTAGCACCTAAATAGAAAGTATTTTCTTGACTTAACTTGCACTTACCTCCGAGTTCTGTGAATGGTTTATACAAGGATTTCTCTGAAACGAATTCTGTGAAACACACCTCAGGCTGAGGAGCTCACTGGCTACAGTGGTCTGCACAGGGCAGCCACGTTTAAGAGCAGTCTGTCTCCTCTAAAGAAAAATAAACTTGTGTTATGTAGGCCCTTTTACTAGAATGTTTGAAAATTACATCATTATTATTATTATTATTATTATTATTATTATTTTGTTAATTCTCACCAGAGGATATTTTATTCCATTGAATTTTAGAGACAGTAAAAGGGAAGGAGAGAGACACATTGATGTAAGAAGAGACACATTGATTGTTTGCCTCCTGCATGCACCGGAACTAGGCCCACTCAGCAAATGAGACAAGCTCCTTGACCTTAATGAACAGGAGACCCTTCAATCCCAGAGCCATTGTTCTATCCACTGAGAAAACCTGCTAGGTCCACACCCACCTTTTTAGATTGTACTTAGGTATGTAGCCAGAGGACAATAGGAATTCATGATCTATTAACAACTCATTTTTGGTCCATTGATTAAATTCTATCCAGCTTTGTTTCTAAAGAAAACTCTCTGAAAGATGCATCTAAAACATAAATGTTATCATAGTACACAGATACTCAACAATGATCTAAGATTTATTTAATATATATTATTTATTTATTTATTTTTGTGGGAGTGGCAGGAGTTTCTTAAAGCAATCCTCTAATTCACAGCTTGGGAGTGATCTGCCTGAGGTCCATATAAGGCCTCAAAAGCATTGTCTGATCCTG